GAAACAGAAAGGAAATTATACTATGAAAACCATACTCAGCTCATTTCATTTAGACTAAGAGGGTGTTTGGGAGAGCTTAAAAAGCAAGTTTGCTTTAAGCAAATTCTTCTCTCACAGATTTAAAAATTTGTTGGAAAGAAATTCAAAAATAAACTTTTAAGGTAGCTTTTTAGCAAGTTTTGAAAAAATTTGGATGTGTAATTTTTTCAAAACTTGCTAAAATGCTACTTTAAAAGTTAATTTCCAAATTTCTTTCTAACAAAATTTTGAATTTGTGAAACAAGAATTTACTTAATGCAAACTTGCTTTTTGAGCTCTCTCAAACACCCTCTTAGGAGAGAAATATACAAATAAGGCCAAGTGCAATGAATTCTATGGGACAAAATCACATTCAACATAACTGAGTGCAAGCTCCAAAGCAGAGAACATTATTCTAAATTTCTATTAAGTTTAAAAAACTATATATATATATAGAAGTTTATAAAGTTTCCAAGAAGAACAATCCAGCAAAGGAATACAAATTTCATTAATTTTTTCATTCTTCTGCTTTTTGGGAAGCCAAATTCATGACATACCAGAATTGACTAACTTGAATGCCACGCATCCTAAAATTACAGAAACTCAATTAATTTTTTTTTTATTTAAAGGAATGCAACCATAAATAGGAATGCCAAGAAAAAAAAAAGAAAAAAAAAAGGATCATGTATATAAATCATGGAACCAATGAAATAGAAAGCCCCCCCACTAAATATGACATTGGCTCCAAGAAAACGAGTCTGCCACAGCAAGAAACATACAAGAATCATTAAGGAAGGCATGGAATTCCAACCAGTATCATGGCTTTGAAAGACTAATCTGAAATGGATGCATCAGGAAAATACGAAAACCTTCAAACTATTAGAATGCAAAATGTCCAGAGAAGGAAAGCAACACCACGGATATGCGAAAATCTGAAATCATGACTTCACAAGTAAGGAGGAATTTACACAAACACATAATTGGGGAGCACAGTGGATCAAAATTAATTCATAAAGCAGCAGTCCCCACAATAAGAGGCGCAGACAAGATAAGATGTATAGAATCTCGAATTAGGGAGACCCAATGTTGAGTCGGTCCCTAAAACTCGATGAATTCACATCAACAGAAAAATAATATAATAGTAGAGCAAAAACTTAATCAATTTCTCATTTCATTGTAAATAAATTGCATGAAATTGAAAGGGACGAGTATTGTACCTCAAAGATCAGATTACAAGCAGTAGGGCACTCAAGAAGTTCCTCCTTCCGCCGGCACTAAAGCTCTTGGATCTCCTCCTTTTTTTTGTCGGCCCGATGTATATATTTTTTTCCGTCCGTCTTCTTCTCTCCGATTCTCCCACTCTATTTATACAAAAACTTAAAAGGAAAAAAAAAAACCTAACACTTCCCTCGGATTGCTTATTCTCTCCTCTTTTTAACCCTTCGATTGCTGCTTTTTTTTTTTCTTCACCGTTGATCGGACGGGACAAAGTTGACCCATTCCTCCGCCAACAGGCACTGCTCTCTCTTCAGGTAACGCAAAGGACAGGGAGGGCTGCGCTTTGGCTGATGTGAGGCTGTCTGAGAACTGAGGCCGTTTGTTCGGCAAGCGAACGGGAAAGGGAGAAGGGGAAAACAGATATGGTTGAGGTTTAGCCGAGAGTGGAGGGCGGGATGGGGCTCGACTGTCGTTTTGGGATCGATTTGCACTTCAGTCCATAAGTTTCTCAAAAATGTCATTTTAGTCCTCATATTTACTCCATCTGCCGTTTAAGTCCCAGCGAAATAGAACCTCCATTTTAAATTTTCTTAATTTGGTACAAAGCAACATTTTTTAGATTTAATCTCAATTTTTCTTGAAACAAAATTTTCAAGTTAATTTCTCACGTCATATTACAACTCAAATTTTTTAAATTTTGATTTAAAACATAAGAATTTATGAGAAGTTAATAATTTAAAAAGATCAAAATTTTAGCAAAAATATCAAATAAGGCAAAGCAAATATCAGATAGCCAAATCCCTTATTGCCCTCTATACATTTTTTTTTACGATCAACACCCTAAACTAATTTTAATTACAATTAATACCCTCTATAATTTAAAACTTATGAAAAACCTCAAATTGACTCTTCATAATTTAAAATCTGTAAAAAAAATCTCAAATTATTAATAAAATCATGGTGCAAATAGAAGATTTAACTGTAAACTTAAGGTACAAATAGAGGGTTTGACCCTTTAATTTTTAAGTTTTTCACAAATTTTAAATAATAAAGGGTGTTGATTGAGATAAAAATTAATTTAAGATATTAACTGCAAAAAGAAAAAATTTGTAGGATGCAAATAGCACCTTTGGCCAAATTGGATTATGACAGGAACTTACGCACCTTGTGCCTTCCAACTTTTGGAAATGGGAAAGTAACCAGATTAAAGAAACCAAAACCCTTCACATAACAAAGGACACCAGTGTTTATTTCTTGTAAGTTATAAAGTCAAGGAACCAATATGAAATTGATTACAAAGTTGATGGATTAGGAGGGCAGTCTATGTAAAATACTACTGAACATGTTATTGCTAAAAGATATTGGAGTTCTGGCAGTAATTAGTTTGATTCAAACAATAGTTTGCAATTCACAGATAGAAAAATAGCACGAGGAATCTGATATATTTTACAGGAAGAAAATTGAGTAGGTAATCCACCAAAGCAACAACACAGGATTATGACACAATATTCAGTGCTACTAGTTGTGAATGTGCATTTACCTAGAAATGCATTTGGAGTCGACCATTATGATCTAGCATCAAGCGACATAGTTGGTGCGGTTGCTAGACTTATACTACCATGATTTGGAGCTGGCAATTCGGAAGGAACAAAAGTAGGCTTGGGAGGCATTTCAAGGAGCTCAATTTCACTTTCAAGCATTTCTAAGACTTTGGTCATAGAAGGACGAATGGCAGGTTTCATTTGGATACACCATAAGGCAACTATGGCCATCTTCATCACAACATTCTTTTCAACATCAGTAACATCTCCCAACATTATATCCTCTAGCTGATCAAAACGTTCAGAGATCCATTTTGGGAAGTATATCTGACTTGATTGATCAGCAAATGCCTTTAAGTTCCTTCTCCTTCCCACCATTTCCATCAAACACATTCCAAAGCTATAGACATCAGCTTTGTATGAGATGCCTCCAATATTCTTGTAGAATAATTCTGGAGCCATGTATCCTAAAGTACCTCTTGCTGCAGTAAGAGATACAATACTGTCATCTGTCGGATACAATTTTGCAAGGCCAAAATCTGACACTTTGGGATTAAAGTTCTCATCCAAAAGGATGTTGTGTGGCTTGATATCAAAATGTAGAATCTGCATTTCGCATCCTCGATGTAAGTATTCAAGCCCCTTAGCCACTCCAAGAGCAATTTCAAACATTCTTTGACAGGTTAAAGATGTGTTATTTTCACTAGAAAATATGATTTTATCCAAGGATCCATTTGGCATGAAATCATAGACAAGAGCCCGTTTAGATCCTTCCACACAAAATCCGATCAGTCGCACCACATTAACATGATGAACCCTTCCAATGGTAGCAACTTCATTGATGAAATCTTGGCCTTTAGCTTTTGATTTGTTCAATAATTTTACTGCCACTAAATTGCCACTTCGAAGCTTTCCTTTGAAAACCAAACCATAACCTCCTTCACCTAATTTCTCTTTGAAACCTCTAGTCATTTTCTTTATTTGAGAATAGGAGTACTTAATAGGCATGAAGTTGTTCTGTTTTTGAAGGAACTCTTCAATTGTATCATCTGCAGACAAATGCCTCTTGCGAAACTTGTACACAATAACTGCAATCATGATGGATAGCCCCAGCAAAGTTCTTGCCAAGATAAGTCCACCTTATCACAAAAAATTAAGAACAGGATCACATCACATAGTTATATATCATTATTACCCACAAAGTGG